ATAGTTGTTGTGTTGAGATTGCATTGTGTAAGTGGACCCTGATGGTAGTGGCAACAAGTCTGATTATTCATTGTTAAGAGGTATGCTCAATTGTGAATCCATTGTCTACAACCGCCATATAGCTGGAATATTGCTGAGTGCAGCGTAAAACTAAACTCCTAAACCCCCATTGTCTACAAACCTAATAGTTTTTTTTAAGTGAGTGAGTGAGTAAGGTTTTACACTGCTTTTAGCAATATCACAGCGGGGGACACCAGGAATGGTCTTCACACATTATACCCATGTAGGGAATCGATGTCATGACAGGCGGACGCTTTAACCATTAGGCTACCCCACCGCCCCATAGTTTTTAAAGAACCAGTGTTTCAGTATGTAACTAGGCTGATTGTGTATTAATCATCCTTAGGAGATGTTGATTAGCACATGCCTTTTACAAACTCGATTTTTTATAAGCTCTGACATAGCTGGAATATTGCTGAATGATTCGCTAAAAGTCCACTCACTCACTCACTCACTCACTCCTCGAAATAGGTGTCACATACAGCTGCATCTCTGGAAATAATGTGGAAATAATATATTGTTGATGGTTTTGTGTGGTAGATACTTAAAGCTCCAGATTGACCAGCAAGTCAAGTTTCACAAGTCTGTTTCACAAATGTTGAGGAAAAAACTCAAAATCTTTTCGTTTCCATGGGAACAGAATAGGAATCACCTGGGTAAGTAAGCCAGGTGTGCGGTGGAGCAAAGAGACTCGCTCATGTGGAACTCAATCTTATCACGGCTGCATCATCAGAGAGGTTAACTGGCATCCCATATATCCCCTGCCACAACATGTGGCCCACTATCTCTGTCGTGGAGGAATTACACAGTGCTCTCTTAGCTTCAGCTGTGTCTACCAGCGTGTGGAATCATTTCTTTGTAAAACCACTGCAAGAACCATATTGTATTAATTGCAAATCCTGGGGAGTTCGGTGTATGAACAGACTTCCTTTTCTGAGTTATGGGCGTGGAGAGGGTATGACATGGTCCGTCATCCGTATTTAATGAGATCCCAGATTGTCATCGGTCGTGTTGTCTACCCGTGAACATCACCTCCTTTCATGGAGTGTTGATCTCTTGTTCTGAATATGTTGCGATAATGTGTCATTGTCTGTCATTTATTAGATATTGTCACAGGTCATCACAGGTCATCATAGGTCATCACAGGTCATTGTAGTATATCTGTGATCATGTTCTTTATGATGAATTTGTCTCTTATGCTTTGTGTGGTATAAATTATAGTGTTCCAGGTTGTTACAGGTCATTTCAGGTCATTGCTGGTCATAACAGGTCATTGCCGGTTGTTGTAGTCTATCAGTGGTCATCATGTACTTCATGGACTGTTTCGGGGTGGTGGCACAGCCTTGTTGTTAAAGCGTTTGCTCGTCATGCTGAAAGACCAGGTTTGAATCCCCACCAACAATGTGAAGCCCATTTCTGGTGTCCCTACCTTGATGTTGCTGGAATAGTACTAAAAGCAGCGTAAGACCCCACTCACTCACTCATGGACACATGATATTTTATGCAATGTTTTGTTATGTGCATATTGTTATGATCTTGCAATATGTCTGACTGACTGAGTTTGGTTTTACGCCGCTTTTAGCAATATTCCAGCAACATCACGGCGGGGGACACCAGAAATGGGCTTCACACATTGTACCCATGTGGGGATTTGAACCCGGGTCTTCGGCGTGACGAGCCAACACTTTAATCATTAGGCTACCCCACCGCCCCTCTTGCAATATGTAACGTTATGAATAGCTGTTTGAACATTATATGTATAACAATGTCATGGATATGAAAAGTTGGTAGAACTTGTGATAAGAATTGTTGCTAAAACATGTGACATGAATTGTGGATAAAACCTGTAACATGAATTGTTTGATAGAACCTGTGACATAAATTGTGGATAGAACCTGTGACATGAATTGTTGGTAGATCTTGTGACATAAATTGTTGATAGAACCGTTACATGAATTGTTTGATAGAACCTGTGATATGAATTGTGGATAGATCTGGTGACATGAATTGTGGATAGATCCTGTGATATGAGTATTTCTTTGAGCTATTAAGTGTAAGCACCATGTGACAACCTGCATGTGCACCACATGGAGAGTATGCTTAGCAGATTCATCATCCAAATATCATCCAATTGTGACAAATCCCTGCTTTGTTTTGTTTGGTGATGTTTTTTCAGTGAATTTGTATGGAATATAAAATTATTTTGTGTTTCCTTCAGTATACAAACACAATCTTTGTGACAAAACAATGCCTACCAGTACATATTGTGGCAAACAATGCCTACCAGTACATATTGTGGCAAACAGTGCCTACCAGTACATATTGTGGCAAACAATGCCTGCCAGTACATATTGTGGCAAACAATGCCAACAAGACTATTCAAACAGAGTTGGATTGTTTATATTGTTATGAGGTATCTGTTAATCTTAAGGAGGCGGTGGGGTAGCCTAGTGGTTAAAGCGTTGACTCGTCACGCCGAAGACCCGGGTTCGAATCCCCACATGGGTAAAATGTGTGAAGCCCATTTCTGGTGTGCCCCGCCGTGATGTTGCTGGAATATTGCTAAAAGCGGCGTAAAACCAAACTCAGTCAGTCAGTGTTAATCTTAAGTCTGAAAATCATAATGGATTTCATAACTATGAAACTTGTATATTTATTTAAATTTCCTGTTGTCAGCATAAAAGAATTTCACATTCTGGGTAAGGAGTGATGACTTGAATTGAAAACAATATTTTACACAGAGTGACTGACAAAACTCACAAAGACCGCATACAATATCATGTTTGGGTGTTTGTATTTACAAACACATTTTTTGGCTTTAATGGCTCCTGCGTCAGTCCAGGTGAGCTAGACGGTAACAGGATCAGCCGCCACATTTCCCAGTCACCATTGTGTAATCAACACGATCTCCACAAGGTGTGTCTCCTTTGCAATTACCGTGAAAAAATCACGGATTTTGCACGCTCTGATTGTGTCCAATGGATGTACCCACTCGCTGGGGTCTGCTTACTGGGCCCTGTCGAGGTGTTTTACTGACAAGTCGAGCAGGTGAGCTTTTCCCCCCATTCACACTGCTTGGAATTTGATCCCACGATGGAAATCCTCTAATTTGAATTAATTCGGGAGCTTTTAAAATGTTGCGTGATTTATTGGTTAATTTTGTTCAAACATTAGCTAATATGATCCGCTAATGGCCCCAACATAAAAGCATACCCAATTTTACGGCATTGGTTTCTTTCGTTGTTGTGTATGGAGTTTTATTTGAGATCATAGCTCACTTTGTGATGGTGTGTTAGGGGTTCGACCTTGCCTTGTAAACAGATTGGCCAGTCATGCATAAGGCATACAACAGGCTGCAGTATAATGCATTACTCGAGCAAATTTGGATCACTTTTAGGAAAGGTTCATTGTTGGTTTGCACCAGTGACAATTTATTTTGATTTTAGGTATTCTCAAAATATTTGAAATCTGGAAGAGTGTGACAATGATTGCAACGGTTAGGTTAGGTATTGGTGTTGGTGTTGATGATGATGATGATGATGATGATGATGATGATGATGATGATGATGATGATGATGAACCTAGTGATCACTGGGAGTTGTGTTTTTGTTCATGCAGCGAGCAAGTTGAAAGCATTATAATAAAGCTAGACATAGATACAAAACAATTTTTTGTAGAAACATTAAACATTCTGATAAAACCATCTTTGTGGTTTTCATGTGGAACAATGGTAACCCATTATGATTGTCTTTGAGAAAGTTTGTAACATAGTGAAACAAAACCATATCTGCCATTGTCATTTTGAAACATTGCAACACTTTGAAACAAAACTGAAAGACCAAAACACTTTAAACATATTTTCTTTCATCATAAATTAGAGAAATAAATCATTTGAATTTTATTTTAATTTCCTGCAAAAATATTTTAAACAGTGGAAACAAAATATTCGATCTTTTATTGTATTTCTTATAATTGATTTTCTTAAAGCAGAAAATTAATGGATTGAGGCTTCTCCATTTGTATATTGTTGTCTTGGTTAGCAGGTGAATATTGATATACTCTGCAATATTTAAATATATTTTCAATCCATCGCCCATAGCATGAAGTGTTCCTGAGATCCGAAAAAAAAAGAATGGGTTGGATGTACAAACATTATTAGCATATGTCTGTTATGTTCTGTGTCATCAGAGTCAAGTTTCCTATGATTCATATATTAAAAAGGGAGAATGATGGAGACTATTGTTTCTGATGTCTGTACATGTCCGGGGTGATGGGGCGCTCATCACACCGAAGACCTGGGTTCGATTCCCCACCTGAGTACAATGTGTTAATCGCATTTATGGTGTCCCCTGCCGTGATATTGCTGGAATATTGTTAAAAGCTGCGTAAAACTAAACTCGCTAATTCAGGCATGCATAAAATAACCCACCCACCCAAATAACCCACACACGTGGGCCATGTTACACGGTAGCATGATATCCCTGGGAGCTAGCACTTCAATAATACCAGCACATAAAAACTAGGATTCCTGAATATGGCGGTAATATTTTAAAAATTAGTATCAATATGAATATGGTATTCAAACCATACAGATTGAGGGGTAGAATATGCTTCACATATATTCAGGGAATAAAACCCAGAATTTCAGCATGACAAGCTATTGCTTGGTCTCCAAAGCTACCTTTAATACCCAGATAGAAATATGTATTTATTGTGGCTCAGTTGAGCCAGGTCTTTGCAAGGCTAAATTAAAAATTACTGCTTGCTGTGTGTGTGAAATTGTGTATATTTCTTACTTATTGAGGAACTTTTTTTGTTTTTTGACATGAATTGTATTTCAATATTTTGTTTTCACGAATCTAACATCATATTACCAGATGACAATTGTTTTTATTATATTCGAACTGACCCACTGACAACTACTTCATATCTGATTCCAGATCTAAAGCCTCTTCTGGATAAAGACACAAACCGCCATATTGACGCTGAACAAACCTATCTTTTTCTGATGTGCCCATGTTGTCTCGACCCTTACACAAAGGTAAGTTGTACCTTCCCTTAGCCTAATTATCAAACAGGGTGGCACGAGGCTCCTAATGTAGTTGTCATGCTGGAGCAAGCAACGTTTTAGGAGCCAGTTTCAAGGAGCCAAATTGAAACTGAAAAAAGCCATTGAAAATCTGCCATCAGTTTACATGAAAAATGCTCCTACCATGACCTGTGTGATGGACCAAGACCCTGTATGATTGGCCAAGCCCTTAATGATGGCCCAAGTATAAAAGGCCAAGCCAGTATGATGGGCCAAGACCCTGTATGATGGGCCAAGACCCTGTATGATTGACCAAGCCCTTAATGAAGGCCTAAGTATAAAGGGCCAAGCCAGTATGATGGGCCAAGACCCTGTATGATTGGCCAAGCCCTTAATGATGGCCAAAGTATGAAGATCCAAGCCAGTATGATGGGCCAAGACCTTGTATGATTGGCCAAGCCCTTAATGATGGCCCAAGTATAGAGATCCAAGCCAGTATGATCGGCCAAGACCTTGTATGATTTGCCAAGCCCTTAATGATGGCCCAAGTAAAAAGGGCCAAGCCAGTATGATGGGCCAAGACCTTGTATGATTGGCCAAGCCCTTAATGATGGCCCAAGTAAAAAGGGCCAAGCCAGTTTGATGGGCCAAGACCCTGTATCATTGGCCAAGCCCTTAATGATGGCCCAAGTATGAAGATCCAAGCCAGTATGATTGGCCAAGCCCTTAATGATGGCCCAAGTATAGAGATCCAAGCCAGTATGATGGGCCAAGACCCTGTATGATTGGCCAAGCCCTTAATGATGGCCCAAGTAAAAAGGGCCAAGCCAGTATGATGGGCCAAGACCCTGTATCATTGGCCAAGCCCTTAATGATGGCCCAAGTATGAAGATCCAAGCCAGTATGATGGGCCAAGACCTTGTATGATTGGCCAAGCCCTTAATGATGGCCCAAGTATAGAGATCCAAGCCAGTATGATGGGCCAAGACCCTGTATGATTGGCCAAGCCCTTAAGGATGGCCCAAGTATAAAGGGCCAAGCCAGTATGATCGGCCAAGACCTTGTATGATTGGCCAAGCCCTTAATGATGGCCCAAGTATAGAGATCCAAGCCAGTATGATGGGCCAAGACCTTGTATGATTTGCCAAGCCCTTAATGATGGCCCAAGTAAAAAGGGCCAAGCCAGTATGATGGGCCAAGACCCTGTATGATTGGCCAAGCCCTTAATGATGGCCCAAGTATGAAGATCCAAGCCAGTATGATGGGCCAAGACCTTGTATGATTGGCCAAGCCCTTAATGATGGCCCAAGTATAGAGATCCAAGCCAGTATGATGGGCCAAGACCTTGTATGATTGGCCAAGCCCTTAATGATGGCCCAAGTAAAAAGGGCCAAGCCAGTATGATGGGCCAAGACCCTGTATCATTGGCCAAGCCCTTAATGATGGCCCAAGTAAAAAGGGCCAAGCCAGTATGATGGGCCAAGACCCTGTATGATTGGCCAAGCCCTTAATGATGGCCCAAGTATAGAGATCCAAGCCAGTATGATGGGCCAAGACCTTGTATGATTGGCCAAGCCCTTAATGATGGCCCAAGTATAGAGATCCAAGCCAGTATGATGGGCCAAGACCCTGTATGATTGGCCAAGCCCTTAATGATGGCCCAAGTATGAAGATCCAAGCCAGTATGATGGGCCAAGACCTTGTATGATTGGCCAAGCCCTTAATGATGGCCCAAGTATAGAGATCCAAGCCAGTATGATGGGCCAGGACCCTGTATCATTGGCCAAGCCCTTAATGATGGCCCAAGTATGAAGATCCAAGCCAGTATGATGGGCCAAGACCTTGTATGATTGGCCAAGCCCTTAATGATGGCCCAAGTATAGAGATCCAAGCCAGTATGATGGGCCAAGACCTTGTATGATTGACCAAGCCCTTAATGATGGCCCAAGTATAAAGGGCCAAGCCAGTATGATGGGCCAAGACCTTGTATGATTGACCAAGCCCTTAATGATGGCCCAAGTATAGAGATCCAAGCCAGTATGATGGGGCAAGACCTTGTATGATTGGCCAAGCCCTTAATGATGGCCCAAGTATGAAGGGCCAAGCCAGTATGATGGGCCAAGACCCTGTATGATTGGCCAAGCCCTTAATGATGGCCCAAGTATGAAGATCCAAGCCAGTATGATGGGCCAAGACTTTAGACAAAGTTGTTAACAAACATTTGTTAACATTAATATGTTTGACATACAAAACTGTCACATATTTCTGGGTATAACAAACTATTTCAAAGGTCCAAAATAATCCCTCTTTCAAATATATTCCCACCGGGACATTGCTAGAATATTGCTAAAAGTGGCATAAAACTATACTCACTCACACAAATATATTCAAGTGTGTGTTTCTTTCATTTTTCTGTAACTATTTGCAATAAGTTGATATGAATTCAAGTACCCAGCCAACTCACAATCTCCAGCTGATTTTCAGTTGAAATACCTGTTGTCTATTCACAGACCTCTCAAACGCACATAGTAAATACTGTCCATATATACTATTCACACTTTGATAAGGATCAAATCATCGATTCAACAAAAAACTATAATGTGGGGTCAAATTTGGTTTAAATACCTTAGCTTGTTGTAAGCATGGATCCTAGGTTTCAGTATGTCATTGCATCTTGTGGATCATAAACCTGCTATTGACATGTGTTGTTTATTTGTCAATCACTCGTTCCATGATTTGCAAAATGGTTGATTGGCGCCATGAAAACCATTTTTATGGTTACTCATGTATCAAGTGCATATGGTTAGATTAAAGTGGTTGCTTGCCTAAAGAGGGCTTACCATATTATTATTTATCCAATTTTAAATGGATAGAATTTCAAATTATAAATCTATGTTTAAGTAAAGTTGTGAATTTTTGTGATCCTTAGCAAAGTGTGAGTAGTATATGTTCAGACATAATGATGTGAATATGAAGTAGGGGATTCAGAGTGGTGGGAAGGTCTTGTGAGTAAGAAACTACAGACCTTACCAAAAAGGTTTCGACATTCTTTAGTGATTGCTGGAACAGTGTCATACTGAAAGAATTATTTGATAGAAAATAGATATGTTTCAAAATGATTTGCCAAACAGATTGCAGTTCGTCTCTTGTTACCTGAAGTTTATGCTTCAATAAAGCTCACTAAAGAATGTCTTTAAGCGAGTTTTGAAATATCACAGACTAAACGGATGTTGTGAATCAATAATGTATTTGAAAATCTCGAAGACACACGCTGATACTTTCTGTGTGTTGTATTACATCACCGGGTGGTGGGTAGCCTCATGGTTAAAGCGGTCGCTTGTCGCACTGAAGACCTGGGTTCGATTCCCACATGGGTACAATATATGAAGCCCATTTCTGGTGTCCCCCGCCATGATATTGCTGGAATATTGCTAAAAAAATTTAACTCACTCACTGTTGTTTTTTGTTCATGCCGTGATAAACGCTAAAATTGACACCTGTTATTTATTCTTATAAGTAGGGCGGTTGAATAGCCTAGTGATTAAATCATTCGCTTGTCAAGCTGAAGACCCGGGTTCAATTCCTCACATGGGTACAATGTGTGGAGCCCATTTCTGGTGTCCCCTGCTGTGAAATTGCTGGAATATTGCTAAAGTTGGCGTAAAACCATACTCACTCACTATTCTTATTAGCGTCTTATTAATGTAATTGGATATGAAAACAAAAATATGTACATGAGACCTTTTACAGTACTGTTGTTTATGAAATTGACGCTAAGTCCATTTGCAGGGTTCGCTGGGGCTTAAAAAAGCATGAAATTCGGGCATTTTATCTTAAATTTGTTTCAGGCTTGAAAAGCCTAATTGCCAATTATTTTCCCTGAAAAGGCCCTATATTTAGCAAAATTTGTGAAGTTATGATTTCACAGGAATCTTATGCATTATAAATATACCTTGCAGTGACAGTGGCTCTTAATTAATATCCTTAACGAAGCAAAACTTTCCCAGTGAAGCAATGTAGTTATTTCCTTCCGATAGTCGGTCCACATTTGACCAACCTTGTGTGTATTCCACCACTTATGTGTTTCTACAGTTTCTTAAAATTGTTGATTGGCCTTGAAAGGCCCCTAAAAAGGCCTTATATTTGATAGCTGACAATCTGCACGAGCCCTCATTCAGCAGAGGCTATTTAATGACGGATCTTGAAGCAAAACCCTTACAAGGCCCCACAAACTCAAACAAGGCCTCAGACAGAACTGATCACTGCATTATGCCAGTTCCAGCGTACTGGGTTCCGTTCCGCTCTTCGAACACATTTCCACGACAGCGGAACCTGTGTGCCCGCCACTATTTCCTGTAAGCTCTTGGACGGAGGAGTTCCATTTGTTCCTGTATTTGTTGTCTTGCTAATTAGTGGCTAAAGGTGAACACGTGGGATTAAGAACAGGAAAATTGATTTTTATGGTGAACAATATGATCTGGTATGTGCTGATAGCTATGTTGTTAGTGAAAGTTGCTGGCAAATTCCTTCACGGAATGAAAGGACAGTTTATCTTTTGTCACCTAGGGGATAATGTTAGGTCAAAACAAGAACATCATCTAATTTTCAAAATTATTGATGTACATGTTCATTTCCTACATTTTTTTGCACATTTTAATGTATCTGCCTTTAAATGAAATTGCTCAAAAAATGTTCTGTACATTTGGAAGTTTCTGTCTACATCGTTGATACCTTTAATTTTCAAAATTATTCAAGTACTTGTCCATTTCCTACATTGTTTGGCATATTTTAATGTATGTACCTTTGAATGAAATTGCTCCAAAAAATGTACTGTATATTTGGAAGTTTCTATTTTGTTTCAGTATTTGAACACAATTAGAGATTTGATGCATTATGTCACTCGTGGGAAATCTGAGTTCCATATAATAGAAGTTTTGGTAATCTGTGAAGAAAATGTTTTCATATCTTTGTTGATTTTCACTGTAATTATTTCAACTAAATTTCAAAAATAA